TAAAGCGCTTTGGGGTCCTTAGGGACTGAGTAAAGCGCTATACAAATGCAGGCCATTTAAATGTGGATTACATGTAAAATGTGGGGTAAGGACACAATGTAGTGTTCACAATACAGTGAGAATCTTTTTATTTAAGAAAAACTTATTATATAATATATAATAAATAAAATTACATTTTCTACTACAGGTATTTCTTCTTTGTTTATTCATTTCTAAAAAACAGATTTTTCTTCTGAACCAGTTCAAGCTGGTAATTGTTTCCTAACAGCCATCTTGGCATTACGTGATGGATTTAAAATGTTTCTGAACAAAACCCTGCACACATTTCTTTTTTTCTTGGTATTAGTTGAGCTGTAGGTTGATGCATGGTTAATATTACTGCAACAATAAATACATAAGCAATAAAAATTTGGTTCTGCAAGTTTTGCATCATGTAATCTATATGGCTGATCCAGTCATTTATCTTCTTGTGGGTGTCTCCTGGTTCTCTTTACATTCCCAGAATACATGATTAAATAGCATCAGTGTCAATAAATTATCAAGTCTTAAGGAAAAGTGCAGAAATTCTGCACTTCAGATCCAGTACTGTGGTAACTGGCTTCAGATAAGTTGAAATAACACTCCTCTGTGCTGTGCTTAATCAGTCAATTAATGTATTTATTAAAGAAAGTGCCACTGGACTAATAGCAAGAAGTCATTATTTTACACTTTTTTCTTTAAATTAAAAACAAAACCAGGTTCCCGGTGATGTTTGAATCCCTGTCTAACATGGCTAAATCTCTTCCTTCTCCTTCCTTTCCAGCTGAACGTGGCTCCTTTAGATCAGATCGCTGTGATTCATCATCTTCTATGCCCTGCTGGTTTTGCTGTTTGCTTTCTGTGAGTAGGTTTGGCTTCAATTTCTGTGAAGTAGAAATAAAACTAAACTAAAAAAACAAACACAATAAAAGTTAAGAAAACAAGAAAGGTGTTGCCACAGCATATATGATGAAAAATAATAAAATAATTTTCCAGGAAAATCAACAGCCTAGCAGAATATGTGCCATATTGTTAAACACTTTAATGTTAAAATGTGGCAGAATTATAAATGACACCAATTGACAATCTGATGAGACAGCATGGCATATTTATTTTTTATAGGAGTGATGTTCATGAAAATCTCCAGGCAAGACTGCAGCTGTGACACAAGTTTGTATTTGTATTTGTTAAAGGTAAATATCTGCCAGGGTGTTATTGTATTTGCTCTTTCATACATGTTTGAAAAAAGTTTGAAGTAATTTGATTAAAAACATTGATGCAATGCTGGATAATATTCAGAAGAGTGAGTGATCTAGAGTTGCATAGAATCAGCAAGGTTTTTTCCCATTTTGCAGAGATTTTGCTTTTTTATTAATATGACAGCATCACACAGTTGCTGTAGATTTTTCAGCTCAACCACATCCCAAAGTAGTCTATACTACAAGTACTACGTGCTAAATCTAAGTAGTGTATACATGTAGCTGATGCGTTTAGTTATGTGGACTGATGGTATGTATTTGCTGCAACGAGACCTCTTTCTCAAATATTTATTTATGTTTCTTGTAATTGAAGGGCAGTTTCATTGCTGCTACTCACAGCGTTCTACTGGTTTTCATATATATGTTTGAAAACGTAGTAATTTAATTGTAAGTAATTTGACAGAAGACAGAAATGAAATGCTCGGCAGTAGTCAGGAAAGTGAGTTGTGACTAACAAAGTACAAAATGTTTTGATGAGGTGTTACGTTCCGATAAGAAATGCATTGATGCAATACAAAATATCTTTAGCAGTGAAGTAAGCATAGAAACAATACCTGTGTGCACAAAAACAATGGGAAAGTCTAATGTGGGTAGGGAAAATACATTACCTAAGTGCAGTACTGTCATGGTCCTGAGTCTGACGAGTCAGCGTTTTGTGTTTCCTTATATTTTTGTATGTGCTTGTTTATTCTGTTTTATCCTTTAAGGTTTGCCATTTGTTAG